CACAAAATTACGTCTACACTAAATCTACTACTTCACAACAAAGTGATGTTGTACATTCCTCAGAATCTAAAGACTATAAACACACCAATACTCGAATCCACAGTGAAATCCACCATAATGTGTCATACTGGATTTTCTGTGTTTGGACATCACAACCGGGTAAAGCAGGAAACCTAATGTCTATTGATGCAAACAAACACTTGTCTCTATCGCTACTGAACAATATACCTCATCCTTGGCTCTCCTCCCTTTAGTTAACACTTTCATTTTGTCTTCTTTCTTCATCTCTCCTGTTTTCATTATCACTGCTTTGTGCCCTTGTTTTCTTTGCTCTTCTGGTTTAATTCCTTTCTTTTTAAAGCCCTCCTTTGCCTCATCTTTGTCCTCATCTTCCTCCTCCTCCTCTTCCTCCTCCTCGTTCTTCTCTTCTTCTTCTTCCTCCTCACTGCTCATACTCTGTTTGCTCTTGGGAAGAGGTATTGGTGTCTAAGCAGAAGCAACGGTGGATAGCATAAATACTTCGAGTGATGATGCTGTTGTCTCTGTATCATATCTTAAAACTCAAAAGATTAATTATTAACTACTGACTACATTATATAACTGTACAAGATTCGAACAGCTACTGTTCAGACAGCAAACACACACAAACTCTTCACAATATCTCTTCTAGAAACCACCAGACACTTCTCTGTACCTTCCCTCTTTTAACCTCTTTCTTCTTCTCCTCCTCCTCCTCCTCCTCCTCTTCTTCTTCTTCATACTCCTCTTCTTCTTCCTCATACTCCCCCTCACTAAAATCTATATGCTTTTTAGTTGGAGGGAGTGTCTGGCGAAGGGTGGCCCTTGATTCTCTGAATGAGGTAGTAGACTGGGAGAGGGGGAGTGGTGTTAGGTGACAGACGATTGTGTTAAGCAGAGAGGGCTGGCTAAGTGGTAGTTACTGCACATTAGATTCATTGCATTAACGCAATATGGAGGGTTTAGTTCACAACTCAGCTCAACTGAAAAAATGCAAGTGAAGACAATGAAAGCTAGACACAGACAGAAAGATCAACCAGTAAGTAAGGAAGCTGAATAAATACAAACCCCCGAAACAGGCAACATAGAAAAAAAAAATCTATTTCAGAACTGGTTTGGAGTGGTATTCCTTTGTCAGCGACATCTGACTTAATGGTGGCAGCTCATAAAGAGCACTGCAGGTGTGTGCTACAGAGATGCAGTTACTGCTGCACCATAGAGAGTAAAAAACTCTGCTTTTGTTGTTGAACATGGCAGCACAGTATAGATGCTGTGCACCTGTGCATTAGTCCTACATGTCTCCTGCACATTAATCTAAGTATCATAAATAAAAGCCACTTTTAATTTGCATCACACATGATTAACTTGGGACTGGCACAAAATGATGGACATAAACAAAAGATAAGGACCCAGACACTGCAAGCTGAGCTCTGGTATTGCTTTTAAGTATCAAATCAATTAGCACTACTATGCAGTATACTGTATGTCTAATAAATAGTACTCTAGTAAATTTAAACACCTGTTTGTGACCCTGTTTCTCTTAAAGTGAACATATTTTAGCAAAGACCATTTAGTCACTTAATTATTGTTTCAAAATATTGTTTTCATCAGAATGTACTGTATCTCAAAGAGGGACATCAAAGAGCAGAAGAAATCTCCCTTGTGTAAATTAACTTCAGGGCAAAATGTGCTATAAAGTGAGACAGTAAATACTAAAACAGAAAACAACTTGTTTTGCTGGTGTTTTGAGTAAAAGAGTATGTAAGAAAACATCAAAAACATTTTAAATTAAATAAAACGAGCAGCTCATTTCATGTACTAGCAGCTCTTCCTGTCCTTTAATAAGTCTCTACTGGGGTCATTAAAGTTTTACTAACTCCATCTAAAAGAAGAAATGAGTCCAGAATCTGCACAGTCCTACAGCACATTCATGGCAATGACAGATACACCTAATTAATTAGCAGCCCATTTAGATTTAAAAGTGGCCTCATCTTTCTGGCTTTGAATCTTTCCATGCAGAACACAGTAATGTTTAGGAAACTGGTTTTCCCATTAACATAACTTAACATAATAACCATAAATACATACACCAGCAAGTTATTAATGCACAACAATGATGTGATTATCACTGTCTATCAACCACAGCTGTCCTTTTTAGGTAAGATTTTAGCTATTCCTAAAATAGAACAGGAATAGTTTGACATTTTG